GGTTCACTTTGTCACCTTCCAGTTACTCCTTCACCATGAACTTCTGGCTCTGCCCTACTCACCCACTGTAGTTCTTACAACAGAGTCACCAAGGATCTCCATTGCTAACTGGACACAGTTATTCATTGACCTTGCTATAGGGTCTAAAAGTGACTGTTCTTTTATGAACATTCTTCCTGTTTATAATAGTAATATATGTAATATATGTTCATTGTGAAATTTTGGAAAATAACATCTGTAATCTCCATCCAGAAAATGTTTTTCTCATTGAAATGGTTCTGTGGCAACTGCCTTATTCCTTTCCTCCTATTTTTCTTGACCCTACCTGTGTCAGTCTGCCTACTAGATATCTGTTTTACAGACAACACTTTTTTAAAACCCAACTGTCTCTCTTCCCTGCTCCAAATCTGCTTAGCCACCTTTTTTCACCATCTCACTGTAAGGTACCACTGTTCATCCAGTTGATGAAGCCATAAGATGAGGACCCATCCTTGACACCTGTCCCTCAACCTCCATTTATAATCAGCAGCTAAAGTTCCTGTCTGTTGTTGCTTATTAATTAATTTACTTGTTGTCTCTCCACTCCCAGCACCTTAGCTAGACTGATTATTCTTCACCTACCTCAGTTTCCCAAAAGCATCATCTACTTTTGAACCTCTTAGGACTTGTGTATCTTCCTTTAGGGCTTAGCTTAGAAGGTCAGGGCTTCTCTGACCTATTTCTACACCCTCAAGACTGAGCTTGGTGCTTGTGGTTCCCTTATGTCCCTTCATACACCCCTTCCTTCTGTATATTGTCCCCCTGCTTAGATTCTCTCAGCACCCATATTATCTTTATAAACACACATCATATTCCATTGTAATTGTTTATTGACTTCTCTGTCTCTGTAAGGGCAGTGACTATGTCTTATTCATAATTGCACTGGTAATATCCAGCCCAGAGTGTTTAGTAAATTTCTGATGATAAATGGATAGTAGGAAATGGGTGGTGGTTAGGGTGAAAAAAAAAATTAGAAGCTGTTATGTTAGTTTTAGGATTCTGGCTGCTTTAAAATTTGCATCTTAAGTGATGTGATTGGCCTTCTGTCTATCTGGTCCAGTAGTAATGGTTCTGTGCATAAGCTTCCAAAGTGTGAAGTATGGTAGGGCAAAGCAGGAATGAAGCTGATAGCTTGGCTGGGTGGGCTCTACCTTGCATTCCATTGATAAAGAGGTTAGGCTTTCCTATAGGTACCTGTAGTGGAGCAGAGATCAGATGGCTGCTGAAAAGTAGGGCAGTTGTGCCAGAGATAAAGAGAAGAGCATTTTAGAGACTTGGTGATTGGATATGGGGGTCAGGGAGGAGGAATCTTTAAGTGACTCAACTTTCTGGCTTGGTTGGCTAGGTACTTGCTGCTTTCATTAACTAGTTGTTTTGATTTTTTAGATTCTTTTTGACATCCAGATATATCTACTAGGCAGGCAATAGGATATGAAGTTTGGGAGAGCATGCCACTGGAGAGTCATCAGTATATGGTTGTTAGAACTATAAGACAGCACTTAGATGTACAGCCTAAGATTAATAACGGTCTAGAAAAACAAGGAACTCTGAGGAACATGGACTTAAAAGGCTGGGGAAGAAGAGAAAAGAGCTGGGAAAAAGCATTGTCAAAGAAACTGAGGAGTTCGAGTTCTAGGGGATATTTGGCAATAAAAGACCATTGGCCTGTTTTGTGCTTTAAATGGAATAACAAGAAAATGGTTCTGTCTTTACCCAGCTGTTCAAATAGATGCTTCAGTGTGGACTGTCTGCAAGGCTTTTTTTGGGCAGGTCCACTTCACCCCTCTTGGTGTCCCAGCACCCCAGCCCAAATCTGGGACCCCACTGATACTCGTACATCGGATCTAACACATGACCTTTAATCCCTTCCAAGTTAAATCTAAAGGTTGAAAACAGATCTCAGAAATTCTGGATCTATTCCCAGAAATTCTGATTCATTGTACCCAGGGATCTTAATTTTTTACAAGGATATTTCTGAATGTCTATGGAACACTCGTGTAGGTAGGTGCTATAGCAGCATTTTATTTAATTGCAAGAGAGCAAGACTTTCTTATGGTGAACTTCAAAGTACAATTGTGATTAAGAGATTGGCAACCATGGAAACCTGGCTCAATCTTTCCACAGTGCCTGTGTTTGGGGAGGGGTGGGGGTAGGGAAAGCGCCACCATCTGGTGTAATCTGTTGGAGATGTAAAGTTTCTGCCTTTCGGGTTTTTGGGGGAGAGCTCCTGGTGCCCTGCATCATATCCTCGTGGTCTACCACTGATTTCAATGCAAATTCAGATTTCCGTAGTTTCTCACTTGAACTTACTACTCTTGCCACCACTTTTCTGTTTTCTGCCTCAGGACATTCAAACCCAGCAAAGGAAGGAGGTTGGTTAATATCCTGGGCCACCTTTAATTAGGGGACAAGAGCCCATGCCTCATCATTGTGCTTTCTCCAGGGGTCCCACAGACTTGTCCGCTACCCTCCAGCAGTCACCCTGATGATGTCGAATGGCTGTATTGGCTTTTCTCCTTCCTTGGTTGTACCTTTCCTCACTTCTATTCCCTGGGATCATCTCCTATTTTAGTCCTGCTAAAGCCCTGTCTATTAGCAGTGTGTCACTTGAGTTGACTATAGGTTAGTAAGTGCAAACAAAAGCCTTCTGTAACTACATTTAGTTTCTTCTTAATGTCCCTGTCTATCAATAATAGCACCTAAAATAATGTGTGTGGGAGGAAGGCGAAGAGAACATATTGTGCAATGCAGAATGGCACACACATTGCTGAAGTTTAAATTTATTCACACTCTGTAATGAGATCATTATGTGAGAATTTATTGGATTTTTCAGCAACCTCCATTTCTCTCCCTTCACTTAGAAGGACTGAAGGGAATTTGAAAAACCAGAAAATCGTTGACCACGTTAGCACTAGATATACCTCTTTTTATTCGTCATTTATTCATTTATCTATTTTATTCATATGTATTCATCTTGTTTTGAAGAATTCTGGGTGGGTCTGTTTATAAGACTAAATTATATAATATAATGATAGAAAGCTATTAAAAATGCTGTAATGCAGGAAGGGGGCACATCACAGATTTAGGATAGAAATTGCCAAAGATAGTCAAGAAACCAATCTGATCTATTTCAGGATAATTTTGAAAAGGTACTTTGTCTTAAATGCAAGACTTCTCTTTACTTAGCTAGAAGATATTCATATTCCTGTTTCTTCTTTTAGCTGAGCCTAGACAAGGAATTAAGAGTTGAAAGGTGAATTTGTTCTGGATGATCACTTTTCATCCTTGACAATTAGAAGTAGTATCTGAAAGCAGTTATCATAGAGGCTGACACATTGCAGGCACCAAATGTTTTAAGGTAAATGATAAAGGTATATGTTGAGTTGCCAAATTATGTGTGTCTTAGACTGGTATCCCCACGATTAAGAGTGGGGAAACTCTATTTGCCTAGCCGTGAGGGGCTCGTACCACCAACCTGTGACTGCAGACGTTTATTTTAGTTTGTAGGTTTATTTTGTAGGAGACCAGGCATCCCTACAAAACACTTTTTCTCAATACACAGTGTTCTGTGTAACAGTGGATATTTTGTTGTAAAATTGATGAGATCATTAGATAATTTAGTATTCCAACTCCTCAGTTAACATTTCAAGTCAGACCCAGAGAGGAAGTGACTTTTCCAAGGTACACTCACCATGTTTAGCTAGTTAATGATATAGCAAGGACTAGAACACAGATCTCTGCATGTAATCCTCTTTCTAAGATGGCTCCCATCTCCAGCCCTGGTCAGGGGACAAAACAAGGCATTGTTTTTTCTGCAGTAGTTCAAAATGGTTTTTAGACTTAATAAGGATTATGTGTTCTGTGTTTGATTTAAGGTATGTGGAGAAAATTTAACAGTTAAGAGCTTATACAAATAGATTATTTAGAAAGTCAGGACTAGTAGATGGGCAAAGTACATAAGCAAACAAGTGATAAATTATAAACATCTATAAGTATTGAACAGTATGGGACCAGCTTAGAAAGCAGGTACAACATTTTGATAGACTGGTTTGCAACCAATAAAAAGCTAGCTGTGGTGACTTAGAAATCATATCAGTCTACTGGAGATTCTGGACTGTTCTTTATCCTTTCCTTTTATACTGTGCCTTATACTTGGAAGTCTTCAGTACTTTACATTAAAAAAAATACATTTAGGGGCGCCTGGGTGGCGCAGTCGGTTAAGCGTCTGACTTCAGCCAGGTCACGATCTCGCGGTCCGTGAGTTCGAGCCCCACGTCAGGCTCTGGGCTGATGGCTCAGAGCCTGGAGCCTGTTTCCAATTCTGTGTCTCCCTCTCTCTCTGCCCCTCCCCCGTTCATGCTCTGTCTCTCTCTATCCCAAAAATGAATAAACGTGAAAAAAAAAATACATTTAAAGGACTAATTTCACATACAGAATGTTAACTAATGTCAGCTTCTGAAATTCACTGTCTATTCAGTCTGAAATTCTCCAGTTTATCTTCTGGCCTATATACCATGGAAAGTGGTTGTTTTGCTCTTGTTAGTCTTGATGTACACATTAAAAACTAGCTGAAATAAGAGTTGGTATGGTAATGATTTAATGAACTGACACAGTGTTTCTGTTACTTGCTAGAACCATCTGAGTGTATGTTTAAAAACTTTTCTGGGGCGCCTGGGTGGCTCAGTCGGTTAAGCGGCCGACTTCAGCTCAGGTCACGATCTCGCGGTCTGTGAGTTCAAGCCCCGCGTTGGGCTCTGGGCTGATGGCTCAGAGCCTGGAGCCTGCTTCCGATTCTGTGTCTCCCTCTCTCTCTGCCCCTCCCCCGTTCATGCTCTGTCTCTCTCTGTCTCAAAAATAAATAACACGTTAAAAAAAAAAATTAAAATAAAAATAAAAAAAACTTTTCTAAAAACAAAATTACCACCTTAATCAAATATGTCTTTCTTTCTTGTAGAGCCTCTGTTATGCACCTAAAGCCATACTGGAAACTCCAGAAGAAAGAGCGACCTCTGGAAATCAGCAGGGAAACTTTGAGAACTCCTATGAGCCACCACGAAGCTATAAATGATGAAAAATGCAAAGCTAGCTACATGAAACCAAGTGTCTTTCCTTCACCCTCTCTTGGTAAAGCGTCATCTCGAAAGCCTCTTGGGATTCTTTCTCCAAATGTTCTGTGCAGTATGAGTGGGAAGAGTCCGATAGAGAGCAGCTTGAATGTTAAAACCAAGAAGAATGCACCGTCTGCATCAATCCACCAGGGTGAAGAAGGGGAAGGGCCGCTTGATATCTGGGCTGTTGTGAAACCGGGAAATACCAAGGAGAAAATTGCATTCTTTGCAGCCCACCAGTGTAGCAATAGGATAGGATCTATGAAAATAAAAAGCTCCTGGGATATTGATGGGAGAGCTACTAAAAGAAGGAAAAAATCAGGAGATCTTAAAAAAGCCAAGATACAGTTGGAAAGGATGAGGGAAGTCAACAGCAGGTGCTACCAGCCTGAGCCCTTTGCGTGTGGCATTGAGCACTGTTCTGTGCATTATGTGAGTGACAGTGGGGATGGCGTCTATGCCGGGAGGCCTCTGTCGGTCATACAGATGGTTGCCTTCCTCGAGCAAAGAGCCAGTGCCCTGCTAGCTACATGTACGAAAAACTGCACTAACTCACCTGCTGTGGTGAAGTTTCCTGGGCAATCCAGAAGTGTGCCCCCAGCCTCCGAGCCCTTTTCTGCCCCAGGAGCTTGTGAAGAATCCACGGAAAGGGGAAATTCTGAGGTTGGTGAACCACAGAGCGAGCCAGTCCGTGTCCTTGACATGGTAGCCAGGCTGGAGTCTGAGTGCCTGAAGCGGCAGAGCCAGCGTGAGCCTGGGAGCCTCTCGAGGAATAACAGCTTCCGTCGAAATGTGGGCCGCGTGTTGCTTGCAAATGGCACTCAGGCTAATGAAGGCAAAACAAACAAAGGGGCCTTGGAGGCACCAGACACTCAGGTGAATCCTGTGGGGTCTGTATCTGCGGACTGTGGCCCCTCAAGAGCCGACCATTGTTCTCCCAAGGGGGATGAGTCCTGGGACGGTGCTCCTCGGGGCTGTCCGTCGTTGCCAGCGAGTGTGAATTTCCTCATGGACAGTGCAGAATTTGAGCCAGATCAGCAAACTGCCCTGAAAAATGGCAATAAATATGATGTGGAGATGACAGAAGAACTTGTTGGGTCATCTTTTCCTGCTGGCACCTGCCCTCAAGCCATTGAATTGCCCACAGATGCCGTTGATTGTCTGAGTAGAGAGCTCGTGCCGCTTACTAGCCAAAATCCTGATCAGAGAAGAAAGGAATCTTTGTGCATTAGTATCACTGTGTCCAAGGTAGAGCAAGGCCACCCTTCTAGTTTAAAGCCCTGTGAAGACCCACTTCCAGGGATGTTGTTTTTTTTGCCACCTGGTCAGCACCAGTCAGACTGTTCCCAGTTGAATGAAAGCACAAGGGAGTCTTCCGTTGCCGGCCACCTTCAGGATGCTGCTGAGGGTGACAGTACCACTGAGGAAAAAAGTGTTTCAGCTGATTCATTTGTCCTGCCAGCCTCTCCTGTGGAAAGTACATTACCGGTGCTTGAGGCATCCAGTTGGAAGAAGCAAGTGTCTCATGACTTTCTGGAGACCAGGTTTAAAATCCAGCAGCTTTTGGAGCCTCAGCAGTACATGGCTTTTCTGCCCCACCACCTCATGGTGAAAATCTTCAGGTTACTTCCCACCAAGAGCTTAGTGGCTCTTAAGTGTACCTGCTGCTATTTCAAGTTTATCATTGAATACTACAATATCAGGCCAGCAGATTCCCGCTGGGTGCGAGATCCACGATACAGAGAGGACCCTTGCAAGCAGTGCAAGAAAAAATACGTGAAAGGGGATGTGTCCCTGTGCCGGTGGCACCCCAAGCCCTATTGCCAGGCATTGCCCTACGGGCCAGGATACTGGATGTGCTGCCACCGGTCTCAGAAAGCCTTCCCTGGCTGTAAGCTGGGGCTTCATGACAATCACTGGGTCCCTGCGTGCCACAGCTTTAATCGGGCAATCCATAAGAAAGCAAAGGGGACTGAAACTGAAGAGGAATACTAAAGTCTACATGAGAGGCGATAGAAGGACTGGTTTTCTAGAATTGCAGAACCCCACCTAGAGCTGTAGAGCTACCATGCAAGTGAGTGTTGCCTCTCAGAGCTGTCACTGTAGGCGAATCCGTACGTATTCCATCAGGACTGCCATTGCTCAGGCAATTTTTAAACTCTTGCTTTACGAGCTGTACAAGGAAATCGGTCTCATTGTTTTATAGTGGCACCTCCCATTTGGTCCAGGGTGGTACCCCATGGTTTGATTCACTTGGCTGTGAATAACTATGCCTATTCTCCCAAATCAAATCCATCCTCAAACGACAAAGACTTGCCACCATCAAGGACATTCAGAAGAGTTCATTGCAGACTATGCAGGCGATCCCCAAAAAGGGGTTCCAGAATGTTTTCAAGCACTGGCACCATATTTGAAATAAGTGAATAGTGTCCTCTGGAAAGAATAGCAGCACTCTCGGATGAAAAGTATGCTTACAAAGGAAAAGTCAGGCACCTTACCTTAGCCCTTGTATGCTTGATCTGTGAGATTGAGGTTTGTGGTTGGAGATGGATTTCATGCCCTGTGGTGTTTACAGTGTATATAATGGTTGTGTTTTCATAGGGCTGTGAAAGTGCACATTAAACCCGAGCGCCTTTACCTTAGATGAGTGCTTTTGACCCCTCTGTAAATAACACTATTAAATCCAGTTGTATAGCGCGGATAGCTGACTGAAGAGAATCCCCACAATGCAGCTAGGATAGTGTTGCGGCTACAATTGTGTGGGTTTTTGTTTTGTTTTGTTTTGTTTTTTTTTTTTTTTTTTGGTCTCATCTTAAATTTGTACATCCTGTATAAAATATGAATGTTTCCCAAATAAACTATGAATGTTTCCTGTATAATATATGAACGTTTCTGAGAAGAAACTCTAAATAGTTAAGAGGTTAACCTGTTGAAGATACCAAATAATGGTTTAACTGGACAACCTTAAAATTAGTATAGAGAAAAATCCTTTGTTATATTTTAGTGATCCATCAAGAATGAGAGAATATTATATAGTCAGATTATAACATTCTTGTCTACTCTTTCTGTCTGGTTATGAATTTTTTTTTTTTAACTTCAATAAAAACATATATCTTAAATGGGACCTGAGTTTTGCAGATTTCTTTTCCTCCCTTTTTGAGGTAATATTGGAGAATTATGTTGTGAATTGAATCGTTAAGAGTTTAAGGTTTTTTTAGTTGTTAGGAGAAGCAGGGAGAGAAAATTGTTTTTCTGCCACGGGAAAGAGACCACCTTCACTTAACATTATGAACTTACATTTTTGCAACACTTGAACGCTTATTTTGAATTTGTTCTACCCAACACGCACCCACTGTATCTCCTGTTGGAGAAGGTATTATCTAGAATGTTCTCACTGCTTGTCTAGGCATAACTAATCGTTACTAAGTGAGGATACATTCAGGTCTATGGTCATGTAATGCTGGGTGCGGCTGGAAGGTATCAGACCCCAGAAAGCTCTGTGGAGGACCTAAAAACTAGTCTTGAAATCAGGCACCCACCAGAAACCCTTGTAACTGCTGTCACCTCCAGAGAGTGGCTGATGGGGAAGTGATTGAGTAAAGGCCTCCATGGCTCTGAAGGAGAGAGCTGTAAAGGTTGAGTAGGCTTTGGCTCGGTCAGCAAAGCAGAGTGGGACAGGACTGGAGCCAGGTGGAGCCAGGGTCACCTGTGGCTGAGGTGATGGGTGGGTGGCCCTGGAGCTGCTTCCACACTGGAATCTGCCTTGGCCTGTTCTGCCCCTTATCGGTAGGCAAGCTGCTCCTCTCCAAAGAGGCAGTACTAAAACTGAAAAGTGTCTCTCAATGCTGAATGAGTCTGTCCCTGGCAGGAAACGACAGTGACACCTCTGACATGCTAGGCCAGAGCCCGAGACTCACTGATGCGTCTGTGATACAGGACAAGGAGAGGCTGAGAGAGCTTCCCTTTCCTTGATGGGCTCTGTGCCCTTCCTCTGGTCTTGCCCCAGTGGAGGTATGCTGGAAATGCTTTTCAGCCTGAGCGCCCTGGGCTGAAGTCTCCAGTGCTCGTCCTCCTCCCCTGGCCATCTCTTCATACCTTCCAGATTGCGTTGTCATGGCTTGTGATTTAGGATCAAAGCAGATCTGCACACACGGGATTTAGAGGACAGCTGGGTGTGTGGTAAGTGCCCAGAAAACGTAGCTCTCGTTGCTGGCTGTTGGTCCTCCATTTGCCCAGGTGGACACGCAGTATAAATAAACCATTCTTTTGGTTGGTTTTCCCAAGTCAGCCATTCAGGATCTGGTTTTCACATGGGACGCAAAGCTGTACCTCAAGTTGACCGAGAGCAGAGGACAAGGTAAGAATACCCCAACCCCATCTTGGCATGTGATTCTTGGCCTCAGAGATCACGGACGACCCCTTTTGAACTTTGTGGCAGGACCGAGTTCCCAGTGCTGTGTGAATGATGGGGGATTTTAGCAGGTTGCATCAGAGGCCACCCCCTCCCTGGTCTTGATTTAGAGGAGTGTAGCTTTCCCCTTAGGGGAAGGCGCTGTGCTTCAGAGCCCCCTAGTGCCAAGCTGGAGGAAGCAGCCCACTTGAAATTTCCTGCCACAATGCAGCACTAGCCGCCTTCCTGCACTGCTCCAGAACCTTAGACTCCTAAGAAAGGGAAACAACAGTGTGGGCACCAGGACCCTAGCTTCCTCCACTGCCACGGGGACACAGATTGAGAAGACTTACACCTTTCGGCTTTTGCTCAGAGGCTCTGATGTGCCTGGCTTAGTTTTCCTCTCCATTAGGAAGAAAAGTCAGAGAAATCTGGGAATCATCCCTGGGGCAGTTCAGCTCTTGTTCCCTGCCCAGTGGATGATGCCAGATAGCCAAGGCAGGAATGAATTGGAAATGGAAAAGGGGCTAAGATAAAAAATTTGTATCCAGGCCTTATCAAAATGACTGGCATTAAAATGGCCATGTGAAGGAATCCTTCGAAACTGACCACATACCCTCCCTGCCTTAGCACACTGACAGTTCTGTGCCCTGGAGGTGCACACGACCCCACCCCATTCTGCCCACCTTATTGGGCTGGGTGCCTTTCAGCAAGCACCCTGTGTACATCTGCCACGTGTCCTGTTTTATGTACTGACCTTGCTCCCCCACCATGGGCTCATAGAGGGTAGTTTGGTCATGCCATCCCCTCAGTGCCTCACACACAGTACATGCTCCATAAAACGTTAATAATCCTCTCTAGGGACCACCTTAATGTGAGGTGCACTGGCAGGTTTTGATGGCTCTAGGCTACACGAACTTTCCATCGAGTATGAGAAACCTGAAGTGGGGAGGATAAAGTGATCTAGGAGAATCAGAGCTGGTCCCATGGGGGCATTCTTGGTTAGGGATGCTCCTATAGCGGCCCTAGATTTGTGCTGGGTAACTCAGTTTTGCATTTGGTATGATCTGGGCTCTGTCATTGCAGGTGGCTCCTGACAGCAGGCCGATTTGGGCCTTGGGGCTGCAGAAGGCTGTGTGCTGACAGTTTCGCATGACCTAGGAGCATCCTTCCTGGGCTCTGTCCAGTTATCCCTTCCAACTTGGACTTGTCAGGGCCTCCCTGCCAACCTTTATGGACTGGCCTTGGAGACTTTTTATTATGTGGGTATTCCCAGGCATTTTCCATGGTTTTCACTGCCTTCATTTCTTCTTCACTCAGCAGACTGGCTGTTTGTCCTTTCCTTTCCCCACAGCCTGTCTCAAAACCAGAACGAAGCCAGTCTGCACTAGACTTCTTGCTGTATAATAACAACTGATGTTCTGTAGTTCTTCTGGTCAGGTACCATGCTGCAGTGAAATGCATTGTCTGCTGTGCACAGCACCTAGCACTGGGGGAAGCTGATCATTTCTATCCCTGCTTTCCCCCTGCGTTCAAACAAGCTAGTGTTGCAATCTTTGTGAGTTGGTAAAAGTACCTCTGTGGGAAATGTGCAATCCCTTCTATTGACGTGTATGCCATTCCTAAGTTTGTGGCCATAGCCGGTGTTTGCACAACCTCATAGAAGAGCAAACATCACTGTAGTCATGCTCCGGTGGGTAACTTCCAGGGTATTTATGCCTAAGCGAAACCACAGGCAGCACCCCTATTCTAGGTGGCTCATTTGACTGTGGTATTATTTTAGAGGAGTAGAAACACTGGTGTTGGTAGCTGGGAAGGGAGTCAGGAACAGAGAGGTGACAGTCTCTTACACTGCAACAACCCTTGTGAGAGGGGATATTCCTCTAAAAAGCAAAATGAAACCTAATTCCCTCAAAGCTCCCCCCTACCCCATCCACTCTTTAACAGAGAAAAGACCTCAGGACAAATCAGTTCAGGGACCCTTTATCTCAAATTGTCTTTGGATTAAGGTGAGCTATTAAAAAGACGTTGAAAATTAGAAGGCTCTATTAAATGTTTGGCTTTTCTCTTTGGAATGATGAAACACAGCCCGGATTAGGTTCTAAAGTTAGCATTTAGGGGGAAAATGACATACAGCTGGAATTACTCTTGGAAATCCTTTGTGTCCATCACCCAGTAGACAGTGATGTATACCATGAACAGTGGTGAGAAACGTGTAAGGTACGAAAGAGGAGGTGCTCTTGCTGAGTGACCAGCTGTGTGCAGCAGAAACGGAGACTTGAGGAATTTGGCACATCCCATCTCCCAGTTAATCAGAGCAGTAACGCCTGTACTATTTAAATTACTTCCTTTCTGTCTCCTCCCCCCTATCAAACAGTTGACTTATAAACTGGTGTTTTCAGGTCTCTATTAAGTAGTATGAAAAATACGATGTGGTTCTTCAAAAACCAAATTCAACCTAAGTTGCTAATCAGGAAGATGTAGAGCAAGGTTGTATTTGTGTCAGTTCCCCCCTCCCCCATCTAAGAGGTTAGATGCCCTATTTGCACAACTGGTGTTTGCAGGCCACCCGGAGAAGAGACGGAGCCAGGGCTGACCCATTGGC